GGCAGTACTTGGTGAAGAAGCTTTAGATGACGTTAAAAATGCTTTGAACTTCATTTCAAATGGTTCGGATACTATTTAAAACTTTATCTGGTTGGATGCAAGAAACAAGGAGTCAAATAGATACTGTAAGATGTATAGCAAACAATGCACGTACGGAATTGGATACTTTACGAGAAGCACAAAATACACTAAAGGAAGCAAATGATATTCTTGGCTCAGTATCAGACATGCATGAAGATTGGCTTAAAGGTATTGACAAATCTTTAAAAAATCACAGTCAGTCTATTGCTGACTACAAGAAAGTATAGATTTTTTACATAGTGCTATGGACGTACATGATGGAAGCATAAGGAACTTACTTAATGCTAACAATAACTTACCAGGAACTATTAAAGCATTTATAAAGTCCTTTGTAAAACCCGGTGCTCTAACATTTAGGTCTTTGAGAGCAAGAGCATTGAAGTCAAGAGATGCAGAAACTCCAACAGAACCTACAGAAGGAACTGAAACAACAGAAACTCCAGAAGAACACCAAAACCAACAGCTAATGAAATATTGTTCGAATATTTTCCAAGGTACTCTGTTTCATTGCATACATTCAAGAAATACTTAAGAAAGCAGACTTGACTTTAGAGATGATGAAAGTTCTGTATATCTTTCGTTCCAGTTTCAAATAGCAGAACTTTTGAGACAGATATGCTTAATGTATGACAACATCTCTGATTTCACAAGATATGATGACGACCATGACCCCGAACACGGTGAAGAAGAAGTTTTACAAACATCCATTAAGACAGGAAAGGTTTTAACTCAAAGTCTCATTATTGACACCAAAATGGCGAAGTGGACGTTCTTCAAGAGCTGAAGAAAAATACTTCTTCGGGAGGTGGTGGTAGGCATGAACTTGAAATAAATGAGATAGAAGAGAAATTAGCCGAAAAAGCAGATAAAAAACCACGTTCATTATATAACTTCAGACGAACAGATTATAACAGACTACCATGGATATTAACACGAAGTGATGAAGTGAAGACGGAAGATGTTAATGAAAGAAGAGATATAAATACATTCGCTGCTAAAGGTTATGACATAAGCTGTACTGTACAGTATGACACGGGTAAAGCACCAGAAGCATTTAGTATAACGATGAAATTTATGCCTCTACTTTCTCTGTTAACGGTGTATTAGTTGAACCAAGATTTACATTGAGAGTTAAGACAAAAATAACCGTTGAAGATGCTATTAAAAGTAAAGCTGACAAAGATGAACTCGAAGCAATGAACAAAGTTTTGAAATCTCATAAACACAACATCTCCGATATAAATGAACTTCAAGCTACATTAAATAGTAAAGCCGACAAAAATCATACACATAATCCTTCACTACTGTTAGAGCAGCAGACGACATAATTATTGAACTATGATTTGGGTTCAAAGTGCACCTTTAGAGAATCCGAGTACAAGCGTAAAGATACTCTTAACAATTTAGATAAGAGTTGCAGGAATATCGAAGATCATGCCAGAAACTTTGAAGCATATGAACTACCCGCAATGTTAGATAAGAAAGCTGACAAGAACCATACACATAAATCCTTCACTACTGTTAGAGCAGACGACATAATATTGAACTATGATTTGGGTTCAAGTGCACCTTTAGAGAATCCGAGTACAAGCGTAAAAGATACTCTTAACAATTAGATATAAGAGTTGCAGGAATATCGAAGATCATGCCAGAAACTTTGAAGCATATGAACTACCCGCAATGTTAGATAAAAAAGCAGACAAAACAGAGCTTCAAACATTAAAAGACTCAGATTCTTGAAAACATATATCCTATAGGCTCTATTTATACGTCAATGAACTCAACAAATCCAGCAAGTGTTTTAGGTTTTGGTTACGTGGAAGCAGATTGTAGATAAATTCTTATACTGTGCTAACTCTTCAAAGCAAACAGGAGGTTCGAGAGAAATTAAAGAAGCAAACCTTCCACCGCACACTCATACAGGAACTACAAACACAACAGGAATCATTCACATTCAATAACAAAAAAGAGGTTATACAAATCTTTGCAGCAGGTTCGGATAGACAGGGAATGCATAGATATGATATTTCAAGTGACCCAGTAGATTCAAGCACAGGTATTTTCTGTGGAACCACAGGAAATCATTCACACACTTTCACAACAAATCCAACAGGCTCGGGTGAAGATTATATGCCACCATTTGTGACTGTATTCGCATGGTACCGCGTTCAATGAACGCGCTTGAGCCTGCTTTGCGGACTTACCGTCTTGAATAAAATCTTTAACTTTACATAAATGAGCTTGAAAGAAGTATTCGAACAACATCCATGGAGGTCATTTAAGAATTCAATGAAGCTGCAAAGAGTTGGGGATTTACTAACAGAGCTGAAGTGAAAAGGTTCTTTGACAAAAATGTTGTACATCAAACAAAAATAAACCCTTACGACTACTTTTTACCAATTTACTCCAACACTCCTGACGCATACCAATTTGACACTCTCATTCAAAGCAGAAAAGGAGGACATAAACCATTCCTCATCTTCATAAATGTTAACACTCGCAAAGCATATGCATATCCAATGAGGAACAAAGGAACTCGTGAAGTGTTAAGAGTTTTACAAAAGTTTGTAGCAGAACATAGCCCAAGTACTTTAACATCAGACCAAGACAGTGCATACCTCAGCAATGAAATCACAGATTTTCTCATTAAGCATAACATAACTCACTACACTACTGAAGACCATAACCATAACATACTCGGCATCATAAACCGCTTCATAAACTCTCAGAGATTTAAATCAAGAGCGAGACTTTACCGAAGAAACAATGAAACATTTTCTCGAAGTATATAATTCCTCAACACATTCTACAACAGGACATACACCAAATTCAATGACACAACAACAAGAAGAAAAGTATATACAAAAGAAACGAAGTCAAACACAAAATATCAGAAATTCAACACAATTTACCCTCATTCCTGGTACAAAAGTTCGTGTAGTTCTTGACGACAAACCGTTGACAAAGAAACGTTTAAGGTTAAGTCGAAATTATTATATCGTAGACTCTACGCAAGGTAATGGATATCTTATAAAAGCTGCTGACGACTATGCGTTTTACCCTCGTCATAAATTAGTCGAAAGTAGTAATGGCAAACTTGCTGAAACCATTGACGAAGCAAAGCGAGGAGTGGTTATTGAAATACTTGACTACAACATAAACGATGACACTTATAAAGTAAGATATGAAGGAGGTGTTGAAGATGTTATACCATCTAAGAACTTGAGAGAGTCAAACCAACACATCTGGGACCATTAGAGCGGGAGTACTGGAAAGACAAAAATATGCCAGAAAGAATAAGAAAATTCTTCTAAACTTTTTCATTAGATGTAAATCAGACATGAATGAGAACAGTCATGATAATTAATGGTACCATTTATTTTAACATAAAGACGCAAAGCGGCGAGGACGAAGTCCATGACCAAAAATAATGTTTAGGGTAGATGGTTAGATCTACCCTCATTTCTACCCTCATTTCTACCCTCATTTTTTGTATTTGACGGGAATTAATTCTTGATTTCAGGGATTTTTTGACGAAGTGCAAATCTTCACTTCGTCAAAAATAACAGTTATCTACCCTCATTTCTACCCTCATTTTTTGTATTTGACGGGAATTAATTCTTGATTTCAGGGATTTTTTGACGAAGTGCAAATCTTCACTTCGTCAAAAATAACAGTTATCTACCCTCATTTCTACCCTCAGCCGCTAAGCGGCGAGACCCAAAGGGTCTTGAATTTTCATGAATTTCCTTAAGATGAAAAAAATAAAGTTAGTTTTATTTTTATTTATTTTTTTATTTTGTATAAAAGATATGATTTCAACAATCGGCACAACAACAATTCAAACAACAGCACCAAATTCGTTAGTCATGAATCCAACATCTATGTTAGTAGAGATGAAAAGCTTTATTCCTTCTTCATATACTTTTGAAACAAAAATCCAGAAGATAAAGCAAGAACTTTTAACAAGTAATTTAGACTGTACCGCACAGGATGAAGAAAATGAAGAATATCTTTATGACATGCAGGACATTATTGACCATTTACCCAAATTGCCTGAAATCCAACAACAAAAGCTCAGTATTCATGAATTCGATGAAATAGAAGTGAAACCAACTGACTCAGTAGAAATAAAGAAGTTCATACGTAAAGTAAATTATGAGTTTCTAGGATATCATTGCAACCATAAAGTTATGGACAAAGATTGCGACATGGTATATAAGAACATCTCTGACATATATAAATCCGAAGAATTTAAGACATACGACAACTTTGTTTCATTAGTTGCAGAATGTGTATGGCAGATAAGAGATAAAGATAGAAGAGGTAAGGTATGGAATGAACAGATAAAACCAACAACTTTTGAGTTAAAGAAAACCATTGACGCCTTAGTTGTTCTAGCAGGTCAAATTTCAATGTATAACGCAAAAATGAATCCACAATGTTCTAAATGTAAAGCAGCAATGAGGAAATATAACTACTCCGTCAAAGAGATAGAACGTATGAGAAACGACTATGCTGACTTAAAGAAAGAAGTAGAGAAACCAGCAGAAGATAAAATGGACATGTTAGCATTTCTGAACAAAAACTATCCAACTGCTGACGATTTCCTATTATCTGACGTCAAGAAGAAGTATAAAGAAACCTTCGGCATTGTTAAAACATTCGATGTACTAAAAGAAGAAATAGAAGCTACAAAACTGTTTAGAATCTCACGAATTCATAACGTATATCATGTAAAATGTTTATAAAATAACTGGGGTAGAAATGAGGGTAGAAATGAGGTTAGATCTAACCATCTACCCTAAAATATATTTTTGCTGAATTCAACACAAAAATAATGAATTTCCTTAAGATAGAAAAAAAATAAAGTTAGTTTTATTTTTTTCTAACTTTTTATCTTGTATGTAAGAACAGAAATGTCAGTCGAAGCAAAAACATTCACTAACAAATCTAATGGCGAAACATTCACAAAAGGCACTTATAACGGTATTGAAGTCTTACGTAGAGACAAGGATGGTTATATAAATGCAACAAAGATGGCAAGAGAAGCAGGAAAGTTAAACCATTTAAACAGATTTCTCAATAGTGCTAAAATGCAGGAAATTCTTGAGTTTTGGTTGAAAGAATATGGTCGAGCCAAAAGTGGCTCAACCTCAAAACAAGCATTTTATGAGCTTACTAAGGGTGTTATAAATGAATTCAAAGGTATTTACATACATCCTGACTTCGTTCATTTTGTTGCTGAATGGTGCTCTGTAAAGTATGCATTTTATGTCAAAGATATTATGGACTCCATAGACAAGAAAGTTCATGAGAAGTTAGATGAAGAAGAACTCGAAGATACAGTAGAGAATGCTAAACCTTTGTTCGAACAAGAAGTTGGAAAAATGTGCGAAAAACAATTAGAACATGAACGTGAGATATGTTATGGTTATAGAGATTCTCCATACGAACTAGACCAATGGGAACAAGAAGATTTAAAGAGAGAATTTAGAGAATATGAACTCGCTAAGATAGCATTAGAAACTGCAGAAAAGAAGTTAAAAGTTTGGGGTCGTTTTGTACAAAAATATTGTGAGTAAATGAACTCATTATTTTTGCTGAATTCAGCACAAAATTCTGAGTAAAATGACATATGGCACGTGTCAAACCGTTGAGTTTTCACAAATTTTAAAAATTGCTGCGGAAAGTTCGTCAAAAAAGTGAAGGTTCCCGACGGTTTCAAACCGCCATACTTTACATGAAGATAGTTTACAATGTCAACTAAATATCATGTACGATAGAAACGGTTATGTAAAGTTTACATTTTGTAAAGTTTTGTCCTGATTCAAGACAAGTCTTGTATTTTTTCAGAACAAGTCTTGTATTTTTTCAAGACAAATCTTGTCCTGATTCAGAACAAGACTTGCACTTTTTAGTCAGTTTTTCTTGTAAAGTTCTCAAATTTGAGAACAATTGTCCTGATTCAAGACAAGTCTTGTATTTTTTCAGAACAAGTCTTGTATTTTTTCAAGACAAATCTTGTCCTGATTCAAGACAAGTCTTGCACTTTTTCAGAACAAGTCTTGTATTTTTCAAGAAATCTTGTCCTGATTCAAGACAAGTCTTGCACTTTTTCAGGAAATCCTATTGTCCAACTTTACAAATGTCACTTTTCAACATGATTGCATTTTGGTCGGGGAACAACTTTCTCTCATTTTGTCACTTTTCTATCGTTGTGTTTTGTCACTTTTCCATCGGGGTGTGTGTCAGAAAATATCCAAAATCTTTATAGCCTCGTATCTCCTTCAATTCTTGACGGTTTGACATGTATGACACACCATTCAATTCAGAATTATGTGCTGAATCTTATGACCTTCATTTGTTCGTGACTTCTTTTCACATATGTAACCCTGAATTTTTAACATTTCTTTAACACAGAAAAATAAAGTTAGTTTTATTTTTATTTATTTTTTTATTTTGTATGTAAAGACAGTAATGTCAACATTAGAGAACACAACAACTGCTATCGTTCATGAAGCCATAAATGAAGAATACGAATACATACAATATAACAAACAACTTCGCCTCATTCGTTCGGTCAAAGATGACATGTACCAAATGCAAAGTATAATGAATGCTCTTCGTTCTACAAAGCAAGCATATCATTGGTTTGAAAACCAACAGACAAAAGAACTTTTAGAAGAATTTCCTCATATGATTGCTTCCCTCGGAAAACCGAGAGAAGAGATTCCGTACGAAAATCGCAAGAATTTGGCTCCTGGTTTGAAAGGTTATTATGTTCATAGACTTTTAGTAAACGCTGTAGCAATGTGGGCTTCACCTCGTTATGCTTGTTATATTTTCATGATGTTAGATGAACTATATAAAGCAGAACGTGGAGAGATGGAAAAGAAACTTCAAGCAAAAGATGAAGTCATTGAATCCAAAGACAAAAGCATACAGAAAAGAATACCGCGTTCAGTACCAAAAGGAAAGGAAAAGAGTTATAAGTATATGATATATACTGAAGAGTTGGAGAAAGAAGAAGATAAAGATATGGTTATGTTGCATTTAGTCAGAAGAAACAACAAAAGCTTTTACGACCTTGCTAAAATATATAAATCTGACAGAAACTGGTTCTATCGTGAAAACTTACCGATTTCAATGACACCGAATGAGCAAATAAAGGAAATTGTCAAAAATACTCTTCCTCAAACACACTATGACATCAAAGGTTGCACAATACTTACATTCAAAGAAGACTTACCATTACTGAAGGAAAAAATAACAGAATATTTCGATAACTTCAAAGAGGAAGAATGAAAACTTACCGATTTCAATGAAAAACATTAACTTTTTGACGAAGTGAAGATTTGCACTTTGACAAAATTTAATGAAAAACATTAACTTTTTGACGAAGTGAAGATTTGCACTTTGACAAAATTTAATGAAAAAGTTAATGAAAACTTACCGATTTCAATGAAAAACATTAACGTAAACATTAACGATAAAATTTATTTCCTGGACTGTTGTCAAAATGTCATGTTGTCATCATTTTTAAAAGAAGTTAAATAACCTGGTAGCACATGGTAACATGGTAACACCATCAGTTCTTCAAAAATATATTTTTGCTTAAATAGCTTCAGGGTCTATTTCTTCAACCATTTCACTTCCTTCGTCAATGTCAATAGAAGCTTCTTCAACCTTTGGTAAGAATTTCTGTATAACATCTTTGTTCGTTATTGTCTTCAGAGATGAAGGATAATATTTCACATTTGTTTCACCTTTCTTATATTCTTTCTGTTCGGAAAGATTTAAAGCAATACTGAAGAAGTCAATATTAGAGTTCTTTATAACAGTATAATGAGTATCTTTGACATTCACGAAGAAACTCTTTTGTTTCAAAACTACTGCTAACTCTTGTGAAGTATAACGTTTGCGGTCAATGACGATAGCTAATGGTCTGACATACTGACCAAACTTAGATTCTTTCACAAACTTCTTGTTAAAGATAACATTAACGTTTGAAGCACCATTGAACTCATTCTTGATGGCAGTAGCGAGAGCATTGTATGAAAAGAACTTGCAATCTTGCATGTGTTTCATTAAAATAAAAAGTTCGAAATATTTTAAAACTAGCCTTAAAAAATCTAAGCTAATTTTTTTCTAAGAAATTTTTTTATTTCCTACTAAAGATGTATCGGAAGTTGTCTAAGTTAGAACACTCGGAAATAAAACAACTTCTTACAGAAGCTAATATAGATGTTGCAAAGCATTACGCAACAAACAAAAAGGCACTCGCTGACATCCTCAATGACTACAATGGTGAAATAACTTATGATAGAATTCATGAGTTCATAAATGCAAGAGCATTTCCTTTAAATGACGTTGCTATTGACTTATATCATAGACGTTTAGTACCTCATGAAGTAAGGCGTGAGATGTTTGACATAACAAATGCGAACGTTGGTCATACTCGTAAAGCTCTTTCTCATGATGTTCGTCAAGAGATGTTTGAACTTACGAACTCAAACGTTGGTGAAACACGAAAGAGAGATGACACACTGAAACAACAGAGAAGAGAGATGTTTAAAAGAGCTATAGAACAAGTTCGTAAAGCTAACGATGTCATTCGTTCCATTGACGACAAACCAAAAGAAGGTGAGAGATGGTTAAAGAAAGATGAAGAGAATAGGAAGAGAAATGTGAAGTCAGGCAATAGACTCATTGACTTTAACATCGAAGCTTTAGATGAACCAAACAGAGACTACTTACACAAACATTTCGGTAAGGTTTTCATGAGACTCTTAGAGAAAATTAAAATAAACTCACAACAGAGATGGATGGTATGTTATAAACTTGGTGGAAAGTATGAATGTTCTACGTTAAACCTCAATAATATTGGAACATTACTACATCAGCTCTTGAAGGAGAACTTTATATCAGAGATAGAAGCAAATGCTGCAGGTATTGTTGAAATGCACTATGACTTCTTCTTGACAAACATAAAGAATCTTACTGAAATAAAGATGTATGATTTAACAGAATATGAAGGCTTAACGATGTCAGATGTAAAGAAAGGCAAACCAAAAAAGAGACCATATAGAGATGAAAGCACACTGACAAATGACCAGAAAGCCATTTTGGAAGCTCTTAAGCAAACAGGAAACCCAGCACTTATAGAAAGCTTTTGGAAAGATAATGGTGAAAAGAAGTTTTATAAGAAGAGAAGCGGTCAGTTCTGGAAGTATCTTTGCACATTACCTATAAATCTTGAACGCTACCAAATCTTCAATGAACTGAACAAAAGAACTGCAACACTTATGACAGAAGACAATTGTTTCGTTTATGCTTGCATTCAGGCTGGAGTAAATGAAGAAACTATTGACCACATGAGAGAAGTCATTCGTGTTAGAGACTTTCCTCAAAGTAAAGTACAAGAAATTTCTGACGCAACAGGTATAGCATTTAATGTTACCATTGGTTATTTCAATGACTCAAGACATAATGAAATAAAGAGATACATACCAAAAGAATGTGAAACTGTTCGAACTATTGACTTACTTCTTGTTGAAGACCACTACATGCTAAATGAAAGATTACCAATGACAACATATTTCATTCGCAACTATATAGAAATCTTGAAGGAGTGTGGTGGAATGAACATTGAGAAACAGATGAAGATTTATACAAAGAGAGAAGATAAATATGTAGTTCGTTATGATAGAACAACACCGTTATGGGATGTTATGAAAACATTGTGGGAGTGCAAATATTTCGAACCTATTTCTTATGGAGAACTTTTCACATATACGACTGACTTATATAAACAGAACCTTGCACCATTTAAAGATTTGACATATGCTCCAAAGTATTGTGTACAACTGAAGAAGAAAGCCGAGTCAAAAGAAGTAAATAAAAATAAGTGCAAGTTCATTCCTGAGCACGTTTTCTTTGCTGACTTTGAGTGTAGTACGACGGCTTTCATAAAGCTTTTAACATCTGTTATGACAGTGAAGATGGTTCAGTGAGTGAAAGCATTTGGGGTCAGAACTGTGCAACAGAATTTTTGGAACGACTTCCTGACAAGAGTTTAATATATTTCCATAACCTCAGTTATGATATAAACTTCATCTTAAGACACATGACAGAAGTGAAAGGAACTCCCATCATTAAAGGTTCACGAACAATGCAAATAACTGGCTTATATAAAGGAAGGGCAATTATTATAAAAGACTCTTACAGTGTTATAAATAAGAAGCTTAAACTATTTCCTGCTATGTTTAACTTACAAACAGGACCGAAAGAAGTATTTCCATATAACTACTACAGCAGTGTTTTGTTAGCAAATGACAACAGAACTGGTGTCATTTCTGAAGCATGTAAGTTTATCCGGGATGCAGATACATTCATGAAAAACATAGATTCCATCAAAGGTTGCAGAATAGATGAGAACCACTTCGACTTAGAAAAATATAGCACATTTTATTGCAAACAAGATGTAAGAATTTTAAGAGAAGGTTTTGTTAAGTTCCGCAATGACATATTGAAAGAATTTGATTTAAACGTTTATGACTACGTTAGTATTTGTTCAATTGCTAACAAATTATTTGAGAACAGAGTGTACTTCCCGAATGGAAATTTATATGACCTCTCAAATAAACCAAGAGAATTTATTTCGAGATGCATTCAAGGTGGAAGATGTATGCTGTCAGATAACATGAAACAAAAGAGCGAAAAGAAACTCATTGCTGACTTCGACGCTGTTTCATTATATCCATCAGCTATAGCAAGACTTTATACTTTAGAAGGAATTCCAAAGTATTGAAGGATGAGATGTTAAGCACAGAGTATCTCATGAGACATTTATTCGATGACGACCAAAAGGAACCCATTGGTGAAAAGTTTATGTCTGGCTTCTTTGTTCTCATTAAGATAACAGAGATTGGAATACATAGACACTTTCCTTTAATAGTTTGTGACCCTGAACTAAATCCAGAACTTAACGTTCCCAGAAGTTCAAACACTTGCTGTTTAATGTATGTTGACCATATAACATTACAAGACCTCATAAAATATCAAGGTGTCAAATGTGAAGTGTTGCAAGGATACTATTACGATGGAAACAGAGATATTAGAATAAGAGATGAAGTAAAGAAGTTGTTTGAGTTAAGGTTAAAGTATAAGAAAGAAGGAAATCCTTTGCAAGAAAATATAAAGCTCATTCTGAACAGTATTTATGGCAAAACTATTCTATCTCCTATTGAGTCAAAAATAACCATAGTAAATGACAAAGATGCTATAAGATATGCCATCAGAAACTACAACCATATAGTGAAGTTCGAAGGTTTGGATGGTTCAGATAAAACTATTTTCAAGCTAACGAAAAGCATTTGCAGACACTTTAACTTCTGTCCACTTGGTGTTAATATTCTATCTATGTCGAAGAGAATAATGTGTGAAGTATTCTGTACTGCTGAGGACTTAGGAATGGACATCTTTTATAGCGATACCGACAGTATGCATCTCTACAATGAAGATATCCCTCGTTTAGCTGAAGAGTTTGAGAAACGTTATGGAAGAGTTCTCATTGGTAAAAACCTTGGTCAATTTCATAGCGACTTTGCAGAAATAACACCTGGAAAACAAAGTTTAGCATACAAGTCAATATTTTGTGGAAAGAAGACTTACATAGACTTACTCACGAATGATTTAAATGAAGTTGCATTTCACTGCAGAATGAAAGGCGTGAAGCAAGATGTTATTGCTTTAACCGCTAATGAAATGTTTCCTGACTCTGTTCAGTGTTTCTATGATGAAGATAAAGGTTTAATGGTTCCGCAAGGAAAATATGACAAAGACTCTGAGTTCAGTTTAATGAAACTTTACAAAGCACTTTATGACGGTCAAGAGATTGGATTTGACTTATGTAAGTCATGTCAACCTTGCTTTGAAGAGAAGTTTAACTTTTCTATTCAGACTAAGACTTCATTCATAAGAAAGCTTAAGTTCTGAGGTCATGAATGAGAAAAATAATGAGGTCATTTATTTTTGTCAGCAATGAGGTCATTCGTGATAAAAATAAGCTAGCGGCAAGGGCGAAGCCCATGTGGTCATTTACAATACTGCGATGGTAGAGTTTAAGAGTTGTGCTTCAATGTAGAGACAGTCCTTATGGTCTGGAGGTAAGAACACTGGGCAGTTATGGTCATGAGTGGAGAACATGTCTATCCAAAACTCACGATTGAAGCCAGTTAATTTATAGTATTTAGGGTTAGGAAGTGGTGAAGTTCTTGTATGACCAATGAACTCATTTTCAACTCCCTTACTTAAGTTTGAATATAATATAGCTTGCTTTCTATCCCAAATGCCAGGTGTTACAATCTTTGAAAATTCATTTTTCCTCGGAAGCATTGCATCATAATTGAAAACATTCTTGAAATCTTCATTGGTTCAGAGATTTGAAACTTATACGTAATGGATTTTCTTTCTCTTTAGCTACTTCATTGAATGGTGAATATATAACAAACTGACAGTCATGAGTTCCATCTTCATTTTCATTAAATTCATAATGAAAGTCTATAAGTTGTGGCTGACTACCTTCTTCTTTCAGTTGTGCAAGAAACTCACGTAAAGGCTGTAAAGTTTGTACTTCAATGTTGAACTTTTTCTCGAACATCTCATTAAATGAAATCATACATTGCAACAATGTTGTATCGTCTTTAAAGTATTTGTATATGTGAATGTTTTGGGCGCTTAAAGACTGTTCGTCATTTTCTATCTCGACTTGAAGTATAAAGTCAACCTTTCTGAAAGCACGTGTTATATACATAGATGTTATGCCAATGTACTTCTCTTCATTTATGTTCACAATCCAGTCTGTTGGAAACTTAAACGTTACTCTGTTCCCCTTTATTTTGACGTCAGGGTTTTCACTACTGAACGCAACAGTTAAAGGTATTTGTCTATACATTTAATTCGGATAAAAATAAACCATTTACTCTTTCTTTGCTTCAGCTTCTTTAGCTTTTGCTTCAGCTTCTTCTCTAGCTTTCTTCGCCAGCAAACGTGGGTTCTTTTGTCTTCCAGCAGCTAATGCAGCAAGTTGTTTTTCACTAAGTTTTCTCTTTGGTCTCTCTGGCTTTTGTTCTTGTTTTTGTTCCTTCAGTTCGGATAAAATTTGCTCACGAATTTCTTTCTTCAATGCTTCAACATCTATGACCCCTTGGGTCTTGTCCGTAGGACTTGTCTGAGTCATTTGACTGCAGATAAAAAACAAAATTAAAACTTTAACCGATGTAAAATGAGCTTGTCAAAATCAGAGCGAGAGTCTATTATATTAAATGACGCAAGAGGAATACAACATCCTTTCTATTACGTAAGTCAGAGTAAAGATGGTAAAATATACGTAAGAAAAAGAAAGGTTCCATTAGCGAATGCAGAAAGCGACAACATTAAGGTGTATGGCAAGGGTGAAGTCCACGAAGCCCATATAAAACCTTCTGTTCAAACTGAAAAGTCAATAGAACCAGAAGAAAAGAAGCCAGATGTACTTTCAATAACGAACCAAGAGCTTATTGCAAAGTTCGTGAATTTCATTGAAAAACAAACCGAGTCAAAGAACCCTGACCCACCAGTGAAAGAAGTTGAGACAAAAGAGAATGTACAGTTCATTGAAAATGTCAAGAAACAACTTCCACCACGAATGCCAAGAAGAAGAGTGAGAATAATGAAGTAAATAGATATTTTTATCTGAAGTAAATACATGCAGAACGAACAGCTAAACGAATTTACTCCAGCAGAGCATATTCATCAGATTCGCTCATATTTCGATATCATAGACAATGCAGTTCAAATTGGTGACACTAATAGAAAATATTCTGACGCAAAGATTCCATCACAACCTGGAACTGCTAAAGATAACACATGGGTAACATTCAATCTCTCACCTCCTGGTGAAAATATGTTGACCTTTACAATACATTCATTACGTATAAAATGGAAGGTCAATTTATTGTAGATAAAGAAATTGGTTCAGGTTCCAATAAAACAAACCCACCAGGATTTTGGATTGGTTTCGATGACGCTTTCTATGCAGTTGCTGGATATCAAATCCTTGCAAATGGTCGTATCGTATATTCTCAAGACAACGCAAGAGAAGAAGCATATATAACTTCAAACTCACAAACTACCGAACAAATAAAGAAAGTAGATGTTTTCTCAAAGACTCGACATGAAGATGTATGGAGTCATTCGGGAACATGCAGAACAGGACAAATTGTTAGTGGTCCAATTACAGCAGGAAATCATTTGATTTTAAGCTTCGTTTAAGAATTCCTGTTAGAAGATTCCTTCCATTAGAAGCTATTCGATTTATTCCAGCTTTTGCAGGAAACATTCAGCTTAAAGTAAAGTTCAGTAGCGACGCCTTACAATGCACATCTATATCTGTAAATGATATCATTGCTTTCAATCCAACTCTTAAAAGTTGCATTTGCTTCAGATTCAAATCCACCGACAAATAAATTTGTTCCATGGAATGAACCATTCACTATGATAACGAAGGCAGTAGAAGCTAGTGGAACAGTTACTATTACAACTGTAACCCAGCAACTATTTCGAACAAAGATGGATTTTAATGAATGTTTCATTCATCCAAAGTCATTCTCTTTAGACCCTAACATTTATACAGAACTTGTAGAACATTATACAAACGAGGCTTTATGTTTTCCTGTTAAAGTTATGGATTGGATTCCTATGGACGGTTCATTCTCAAAGAATACAGATAGTTCAAGTGCAACATTTACAGCAGCTTATACGCCTATTAATGTTAAAAGTATTTGGGCACTATTTAGAAAGAAAGACAACTATTATGTTAATTTTGAGAACCCTAAGTTTAAATATCTTCAGCTTTCCATGGGAGCTTATGGAAATATGCCTGCAGAACCTGAAAAATCATATGGACCTGTATTTTATGAAATGGTTGCGAACGCCTGCAATACAAACAATGATATGATAGGATTTAATGAAGATGTTATGAGGTCATTGGTGGATGATGGTAGTGTGGAACATAAATGGGATAGCTATGACAACACACATTTCTTATGTGGTTTTCCAACAGAAGTGGACTTTTGCTTCCAGCAAGGTCAAACATCTACTGCTCCAATAACATACAAATTGTCTGTTAAAGGACCTATTGAACTAGCAACTGAAAAGTACCAAAGCCACTTATTGGATTTATGAGGGATTGTTGCTTTGCCATTCAGGTGCGTCTGCATCCCCATAATAAGATTAGATGACTATAACTTAGCTACGGACGACAGTGAGGAATAAAGGATGAACGTTTATTTTTAAAGCTTATAAATGAGTTCTTCATCAAGCTCTCGTGAACCTTCACCATCTATGAAACAAACTTTACCAAACGATTATGGAGCACCTATTGAATATTTCTTACGAGCTGCACAATGGCAAAGAGCAGTCTCACCAAGGTTAGGTGTTCCACCAGCTCCTGTCAAAAATAGCATTTGGTCAAGTCCTTATATAAAATATGGTCTCCCACTAGGTTTGCTAGCTACAGCAGGAGCAGTTATGATGTTGAAAAGAAATAAAGCAAATGTTGTAAATAATACTGAAGTAGCTGAAGTTAAACAAACTCCAACACCTTCACAAGCAAAACCTTCAATGACTCCTGAACCTATGGAAGTACAAACTCCTGTTCAAAAGTCAACTCCTAAACCGACTCCAACATTTAAACCAGAACCTACTCCTCAAATAAATCGTAAAACTCCTGCGTTTCCTTACTGAAAAAATAACGTTATTTTTATTTAATATTAAAATTTTTATTTGATTGAAATGACGACTAAAGTCACTGAAGCAATGAAACAAAAGTTTTTGGTAGAATACATTAAATCAGGAACTATTCCAGAAGGTTTTTACATTCATACTATGAAGGATGGTAAAGTTCAGTTTAGAAAGATAAAGTAACCATTAGATAAAGAAGGTAATTTAGGAAGATTAAACTTCATGAGGACAACATTGCTGAACTTAGGAAGAAGTTAGAAGAGTTGGAGAAAGGAAGAGAGTTATAAAGCAATGAATTCAACAGGTTAGAAATGAGGGTAGAAATGAGGTTAGATCTACCCTTCTACCCTAAATTTATTTTTGCGCTATGTTTTCATACGTGTGAGGGTGGTGATATCATTAATTTTTAAGTTTATTTTTATATAAATGACGAAAACTATTGAGATAACAAACTACAACGGTCATGAGTTCAAGAATTTGTTCTTCGTTCCTCGTGAAAATACATTCTATCAGATACGAGGGAGAAAGGGTAAAGTTAGTTTGAGCGTTTATGAAGGAATGAAGAATGGAAAGTTTATACAAGCATACGATACAAACGGTAAACGTGTTTCATTAGCTTTGTCAAAACTTACTAACATTTATTTTGACAGTGATTTTGACCTATATGAAGAAGAAAGTGAGTCAGAAGATTATGAGCTGTTATGTGAAGCACAGCAATGGGAGGAGTTGCAATACTTTTGTAAGTGAGAACGTTTATTTTTTACATTAGTGAAGTCATTAGTGGTTGGCGGTTTGTATATATTTAAGGTTAAGTTAGTGTTGTCGTTTGTGTTGTAAAATATACGTTACTGGTTTTGTAAATATTTAAGGTTAAGTGGTGTACGGAGGCGCGCAGTGCCTCAGTACACGACTTAGCCATACTAACTCCAGAAACAGCAGTAAGATATTGGGCGCTTTCACCCAATCTTATCTGGCACGCAGATGTTCATTATTTTAGGGGTGTTCGTGGCCAGTATATTTATGGCATAATCGACGATTTTAGCCGCAAAGTCCTAGCGTATATACAAATACCAGATATGCTGGCAGCGACGACAGCGAACGTTGCGGCTTCCGCCTTCATTGAATTTGGCGCCCCTTATTGTTTCTGGACCGACAACGGTTCAGAAAATAGGGGCGCCTTTCAAGATCTACTTGATCTTTGGGGCGTCCAATGGCGGCATACAGACTCTCATTCTCCCTACCAAAATGGGAAGATTGAGAGATTCTGGCCGACATTGGAGCGCTTTCAAAGCATTCAGGCTATTCCTGCCTTTATTTGGGAGTACAATAATAACACACCGCATGAAGATCTCCCAATTAATCCATTAACTGGAACAAATTACACGCCAAATCAAATGTATCAGCTGAAACCGAAATACACAAATGCAGATACAGAAAGGTTGTGGCAAATATGGGATACAGATACAGGCATGACCGCTGTTGACACATTCACAGCGTAATAATAAACATAATTTTTTAATTTCATTATTAACAAGTTTTTTTAAATGTATGTAATGAATAATTCATTAGAATATGATAATGCACATTGTAACAGAATAGAACAATCACCAATTTTTTTTTTTTGAAATTAAAAAATAAAAGTAAAAAGCATAAAGTAATCTAACCAAAAAAGATATTTAAAAGAATTTTGGAAAAAACAGAATAAGGATAATGATATTATTTTAGATACACAATCGATGTACTGAAGAATAATCCGGTAAAATGATGATATAAAATTAGAATATTTTACAAGTAGCTAAAAGAATAAAACTATAATATAAAATAAATGAAGTTTAATGAAACAATAAAGGTTAAATAAATAATAAAGATTTTTATTTTATATCAGTATTGAGAAGAAGTAACAGCTGACACTTGGTAGACAACTTCTTTATGTCTAGAAAATTCTATCTTGCCTTTTATTTTTTTCTCGCTGTGAAACGTATTCGGTCATTTTTTTAAAAATTAATTTTTTGTTAGAGATAAGAGCTAAAACTCGGTAAACAACTTCTTTATGTCTAGAAAATTCTATCTTGCCTTTTATTTTTTCTCGCTGTGAAACGTATTCGGTCATTTTTTTAAAAATTAATTTTTTGTTAGAGATAAGAGCTAAAACTCGGTAAACAACTTCTTTATGTCTAGAAAATTCTATCTTGCCTTTTATTTTTTTCTCGCTGTGAAACGTATTCGGTCTTTTTTTTAAAAATTAATTTTTTGTTAGAGATAAGAGCTAAAACTTTGCAGACAACTCCCCCATGTCTAGCAAATTTAACATTCGTCTCCCATTTTTATATATTTGGTTTAGAATGTTCGAAAATGCGTAATATGGTCATTAATATTAATTGAAAAGAACCTTGAATTAATTCAATCTGATCTCACAAAATATTTTAAATTACAAACTTTGTAGTTTGAATAGATAATTAGTATTAAACTCAAATAACTAGTTTATTTTGGAATAAAAATTATTTGAATTTATTCAATTTTGTGAATTTTCCTTCAAAAATCAAGTTTAAATATCTTATTTGCCATATAATTATAAATACAATGAAACAAATTCGAAATTGAAAAGAATGACTTTTTCTGTTCTTTCAATCATTCAATTTGAATTTTGCAATATTGGATTTCTCATTAAATAGCTATTAAAAACAACAAGCAATTTAACTTACATTCAAATTTATTTGTGTTATATTCAATCTTCTCAAAACTTATAATTTTCGGCTATAGCATGATTATATGCTATATAATATAATAAACCTATAATAGTATCATTCTTTCAATTATTTGAAGAGAAAACCGAAAAAATCTATTTTCGGTCTATAACACTTCTTCAAAATTTTATTTTTTTATTAAAAAGAATCTTTACAAAATATACATTTACTTTAATTAATATTTAAAAAGGTGCTCTATCAAAAGTTCCAAAAATTCAATATTTTAGCTTTTCTGAGGTGTCACTTTTGATGAATTTCTGTTTACAATAGATTCACACATTTTAGTTGATGTCGAGGCTTCTTTCAAAATTTGATTTCTGAAATCAAAATAATTCGGTTTATGGTGTAGAGATATATTATAATTGTATACAACAAATGCTATCTACGATATGTATATCTTTGAACTACAATTTTCCGAAGTATTGAGTTGTTTTCAATTCAACTTTTTATAAGGAATGCGTTATACTATAGCACAAGAATAATATTATTTAATCACGTGATATAAATTTTTCTGATTTAAATTTTTCAATACTCTGCAAAATATGTTGAAAACGACCCAAAGTGTGAGTAAAATTATCGACAACTTTTTGAAAGAAACTTCAGTCTCTTTAAGTAATACAGAGGACATCAAAATTTCAAAATATTTTCCATACTTTAAACTTTATAATCTTTTCAAAAAATTATGAAAGTTAAACTTCCCTACAGAGAATTTTATATATAAATATTCAAAAACCCTAAATTAATATGTAATTTTCATTTCTCAACATAGCAAAATCAAATTGAAGATAATGCTCTATCAATGCAATATATTTCATATTAATGAGAGAGTATTTTTTTTAATTACTCAATCCTCAGGTTGGTATAAAATTGAGAAGAGTTTCAAGAGTCTTTTCAATTAGCGGGAAATTTGAGAGCAGGAATATTTTATTGAAATGAATTGATGGCCGTTTCAATTACTAACCATTTTAAATAATGTAAGATATTAAACGAGTACATCCAAAGGATAAGTTTACACAGGAAGAAGATGAGAGACTTCGTAGAATCGTCCTCTCATCTGATAGCCTGGATTGGACCAAAATCGCAGACAGAATGGGAAACCGAAACGGCAGACAATGCAAAGATAGATGGACAAAGTATTTAAATCCGAACATTAATACACAGGAATTCAGCATTGATGAGGACATCAAGCTCCTGACCTTGTATGAACAGTTCGGTTCGAAATGGGTTTTGATATCTAAGTTCTTCAACAACAGAAGCGATGTCGCTATTAAGTCAAGGTTCCAAGTATTGAGAAGACGTGGAATCACGAAGCAAGTCCTTCATTTATCACAGTTTCAGAGCAAATCTCAATTGGCCATGATGTATCTCAGGAATGAGGCTAAACCAAGTCATAAAACTACACAGAGGAAGGCTAAACAAGAGCAATTCACATTAGAAAGCTCCTCATCGGATGCTTCTTATTCACCTTTGGATACTTCAATTACAACATCTCCAATCGAAGATCAATTTTTCACCAATTTCGATCAATTTGATATACCTGATATATTATTTTAAGATATTTGCTGTTTTGGATTGTATTAGACTGTTATTTTGAAATATTATTTTTTTGTGTTTATAATGATTATAAACATCTATTTATGAGTTAAATGCTTAATGATTTTTCTTAAACATTTTTAATTATCGATCAACATTATTGTTATATTTTTCAATGCTTTCTATTTTTATCCCTGAAATTTAATTCATCAAGTACCCAAATTGATATGTATAACATTATTATCTTGATAATACTGCCCATATCATATTCAAAATAAAATAAAAAAAAATCATAACAGAAGATCAAAAAGCAGATTAAACACAAGGAATGATAAACCCTGGTGATAATTTATAATCTGAATTCTTTTTTCGGCCACTGCATGAGATAATGTGATATTCTGATATTTCATCTTTTTTTTCTCTGAGTATCCTGAAAAGTTTACATTGTTAGGAGTGGGCATTTTAGAAAATAATCAATTTATCAAATTCTGACAAAATTCCATTACGAAAGAACAAATTGAAGTTTATTTAATAAATATTTAGAATTAAATCCAAGCATGAGATTTATATTGTAATAAACAGAAATTCATCAAAAGTGACAGCTCTCAATTTTTTGACATTTGTAAATTCGAAATTGAATGAGAAAAATGAAATAATACTAAGCATAATACAATATTCTAGATTTAATTATAATTAGGAAAAAGTTAGTTTTGAGAGTACTTTTCATAGGCATATAGAATGAAATCTTCTGAAAAATAATATCACATAAACTCATATTATTTTCTAATATATAACTATTTTATATAAAAATCAAATTCAATGATCTTAAAAGCGAATGATAAACCTCAAAATTTACGAATATAATGAGTGGGAATATAATGCTTATCTATCATAAAACCATATGAAATATCAATTTTTGCTTTACGCCTAATTTTTGACGACAATTAGCAAAAAATGTTAAATGTTAACACTCAGTCCATTTGAATATGAAAAATAAAATTGACTTTGATTAAATGTTTTTATTTATCATGCAATTCTTCTTGCGACCAAAGATTTGAATAAAAGTTCAAAAAATAAGATAGCTTAAGAAATAATATACGGTAGTGTTTACTAATAGATGAATAGTATATAAATTCTATTAAAATGGATTTGATCCAAAAAAATATATAAAATTTGATCATAAATAAAATCGTTTTAAATTACTTCTTCATTTAAATTATAACAATTATTTTTGGTTTTATATTTTTTTGGATCAAATCCATTTTAATAGAATTTATATACTATTCATCTATTAGTAAACACTACCGTATATTATTTTTTAAGCTATCTTATTTTTTGAACTTTTATTCAAATCTTTGGTCGCAAGAAGAATTGCATGATAAATAAAAACATTTAATCAAAGTCAATTTTATTTTTCATATTCAAATGGACTGAGTGTTAACATTTAACATTTTTTGCTAATTGTCGTCAAAAATTAGGCGTAAAGCAAAAATTGATATTTCATATGGTTTTATGATAGATAAGCATTATATTCCCACTCATTATATTCGTAAATTTTGAGGTTTATCATTCGCTTTTAAGATCATTGAATTTGATTTTTATATAAAATAGTTATATATTAGAAAATAATATGAGTTTATGTGATATTATTTTTCAGAAGATTTTGTGTTCTTCTTCAAAATTTTATTTTTTTATTAAAAAGAATCTTTACAAAATATACATTTACTTTAATTAATATTTAAAAAGGTGCTCTATCAAAAGTTCCAAAAATTCAATATTTTAGCTTTTCTGAGGTGTCACTTTTGATGAATTTCTGTTTACAACATATACATCAATAAAAAATTAAAATTTCGAGTAAAATAAAAAATGCATTTTGAATTTTAATGAAAAGAATTCTGATTTAATTTTCCGCTAATGTATTTACCGATTGAAACTATATCTTAAGGTAAAAACACATTTTCGAAAAGAACATTTCAGTTTAGAGTTTTATTAGAGATAGATGAATTTTAATTAAAAAATTAGAATGAGATATCAATAAAGATTTTATAGCATAGAATATCTTCATGAAAAATGAGTTTCGAGTGTCATAATTCACTATTCAAAAATTGTTATTTGGTCAAATGAAAAATCGGATAATATGAATCCGATGCTTAAAGCAAAGAATTATAAATAATTAAATGAATTTTTATTTAACATAAAATTTCAAAATTCAACTATAAATACATTATACAACAATTCTTCAAATATATTCAAGTTAATTTTTGAGATATTGTTTATAAATTGAATACCTCTTTCAAAATCAAAAGATTTTGTGGATGTAAATTCAAAAATAATGAATAATTTCAACTTAAAATCTTCGTTCATATCCAAGAATTAAAAATTCTTTAATAATCACGTTGGAATATTCAATAATAAAAATTATAAAAATATAAAAAATTCAAACAAGATCATAATCTTTATACTGTTTAATAATCTATGATAAAAATTGTCAAAATTTTGAGAGAACTTTCAAAAAATATTTTTATGAAAATTTTGAGAATCATAATCAAAACTTGAGAGATGCTTTTTTAAGATTTAGAATTTTTTGAATCTTTGGAGAAAAAATAGAAAGTAAGTGGATACATTAACATAACCCATTAGCTGTAACAGAAGAGAAAACTATTTCCAATATATCAATTTTTTAATTATTGGAAATTTTTAAATTTTTGGTAGTATTAGAGGAATATTAATTGTTTGCATCATATTTTTTACTCTCATTAAAATCATTTTATTACTGATTATAATCAGTTTCTTTTACTCAGTATTATTAATTGCCCAATCACAAAACCTTATAGACTCTACCATTCTACCATCAATTTTTTAATTTCCTTTTTTTTAGAAGTTTTAATATATTTTTTTCAATATTGCTCCATTTCGTATTCCTTCCAACTATTTCCTTGTTTTTTCGCATTTGTTATTTGTTTTTTTTTACAAATATAATCATAAATATTCGACATTTACTCTCTTTTTGTAAACTACATAAAGAATTCCTGGATTACATTTGAAATAGTGACTTTTAATTATCAAATCTGACATATTTGGAATAATATAAACAATCTTTATTCAAAATGATAGACTTAATGACAATTTAATAATACATCCAAGGAAAATGGGTCATGATATTCATTACTTTGAATTTTAATTTCATCGAAACTATTTGTGAACTTGGGAGGAATTTCACTTACCAGCTTAGAAGATCTGGAACCTAAAATATTCATTGATGTGAGCATTGGATGTATCTTATCCCAATTCTCTGAATACCAACATAAAAGGGCCGATCTATTTCTTTTAGCGAGTCTGTCAAGTGTGATCTGATAGTTTGACATGACTATTTTGGCCAATGAAATCAATATTTCTGCATTAACATGTGCGCCAAAGTATTGATCCAAAAATTTTGAAACGTATTCCAATTTTCCTTCATTAGCAGCTATTCTCTTTTGTATTCTTTCATTATCCCTGTACGATTGGCTATGGTGAAATTTGGAACGCCTTTCTGCATGCAAAGCCTTGAGCATAAAAAGAAATATAATTTATTTTTTTTTCAATTAGATTCGATAGAACTATCAAAAAAATTCTATAAGAATTTTTATTAAATATATGATACTATATAAATATTTGATATTTTGAAGCCTTTTGTTAATGGTTTTAAATAGCAGGTCTATTCAATAATAAATGATTTTCATACAAAATTTTGAATACGAATTTTTCATTTTGACTCTCATAGTATAAAGAAGAAAATATCGAAACAAAAAATTTTCAAAGGGAAATTTTCTGAATGTTTTGAATAATTGATTTTATCAATAAACATTTTAAATATTGAAAAAAAAAAAAAAAAAAAAAAAAAAAAAAAGGGTAGTGGGGCTTCCAGGCACTTCGTGCCTTCTAGCCCTGAGGATGATTGATATAATGAAGTTTTTTTTTTTTCTTGGGGTGGGCTTCCAGGCGCGTTGCGCCCTCTAGCCCACATAAATGAAGTTCTTATATACGGGTCTTCCAGGAGCTTTTCACAAATTATATATGTTTTCATGCTTTGTCACTTTTCTGTCACTTTTCAGGTAAAAACATTTTTATTATTATATATAAATGAATTTTACAAAACCACCGTTACCCTTCTTTGGAAATAAGAGTAGATGTAAAGATATTCTATTGAGAGAACTTAAGAAACTACCGAATGGTCTAACATTTGTAGATTTGTTCGGTGGAAGTTTCTATATATCTCATTTGTGCCATACTGTATTTCCTGACTCAAAGATTATATGCAATGACTTCGACAACTATATGAACCGTCTCAAACATATACCAGACACAAACAAAATATTGAGTGAGTTGAAAGAAAAGATACCTATAGGTAAGATGGAACGTATACCATTAGATAAGAAAAATACTGTCAGAGAGGTTTTGAAAAAAGCAGAGTATATTGACTGGGATAGTATATCTGCTAGACTATTATATAGTGGTTCTATAAGAGTTCATGACATTGAAACACTTATGTCAAACGTTTTATATCTTAACTATACAAATGTTTTCAAAGAGGACATAGAAAAATATATTGAGGGTATAGAGTTTGTGAGATGTCATTGGACAGAGTTGTATGAAAAATATAAAGACAAGGAAAATATTTTCTTTATAGTGGACCCGCCGTTCTATAACACATGGGATTTTCAATACCAAGTAGACTGGACTTTGAGAGACTCTTTAGAAACTTTAGACGTTATACATAACCATCCATGCTTTTACTTTACATCCGATAAAAGTGGTTTGGAAACCGTTATGAGATGGTTAGAGGACATACATGACTATGAGTTTAGATATGACAAGATAGAATATGAGAGAGGTCCTATAAACTGGAGAAAGTGTCACAATAAAGAAATTTTATTAGTAAGTAAATGTGGTTTGAAATCGGATTGTTAGTTTTAGGTTTTTTCCATTGTGTCATTTATTTATTTGACGTGGCAGAAAAGTACAGAGAATATGAAGATGAACCAATGCCTGCAAATGTTCAGCATATGTACTCGTAAGAGATATTTTTATCTAATATTAAATGGACGCACAGAACTTAGCGAATGCACAGCAACCTGGACAACCAAACCCAGAGAATATTCCAAATGAAGTTAGAATACAAACTGCAATGGCAAACTATGGTCAAGTGCCAACAGATGTACAAATGCAAACTGCCATGTCAAATGACGCTGCGTTAGGTTTGCCACCATGGTATGCAAATATGAGATGGAAAGAGTTTTATACAAACCCTGAAGTGGGATATAAACAACTTTATGCAGATGACGCGAACACAGGAGTTGACCCAGAATATGTTTTCTACCAGAGGAGAAACAGAATGTATGAGCTCCAGTTAAAGAATGCCATGGAACTCAACAGGAAACGTAAGAGACTAGGCGGACATTAGATTTTTACATATAGTAAAATGGGTTTCTTCAGTAGTATTGGAAACTTCTTTCGAAATGTTGGAAGAGGTATATGGAATGGAATAAAATCTGTCGGAAAAGGAATTTGGAACGGAGTCAAAAATATTGGTAAAAGAGTAGGTCAGTTCGTTGGTATTATACCTAAAGACCCTGAACCAGAAGAACAAGCTCCTGTTATACAACAGCCTGAACCTGCACCACAGTCAAGTTGGCAACCAAATCCAACACCTCAACCGTATTAAAAAATTATATTTTTACCGTTCGATAGTAGTTGTATATGAAACTAAGTTCTAAGTAAAACGCATGGTATAATGGAATTATTCTTTTTCTTCCATCTGTAGTAAACCATACTTGAAAGTCTGAAATACTTCCACTTGGTGGTTCGTATAACTTTGTAGGTTTTTCGTAAAAGTCATTTGCCAAGCATAAGAAAGAGTTTTGGGCGCCAGAAAATGAAGCATGAACTATAATAGCATCTGAGTCGAAAACATTTTCATATGTTCCATTAGGGTTTTCGACTTCATAAAAGTCCGGGTGTACTGGATATTCTGCAGGCTGATTTAACATCCTCAAAAATCTATACCATGCCAAGTTGTTATATTTTGTAGAAATATAAACGTTTTCTCCAAGGTCTTCTATTTTATTGATTTTAACAGTTGCATTTTTCCTGTCATATATAATATCGAGATGGTACTCTCCTTCGTCAATGTTGTACTGGTTTGCATATTCGAGATAGATATCGTTTATTTTTTCTTGAAAAGCTTGAAGAGTTGTTTCTAAGTTTACAAGCAAATTCACTTGTAAAAGTTTTCCCTGTTCAAATTTCTCATACATACGTTTTTCTTTGTTATAGTATCGAACTTCAAAACCGACCGTAAATGGGAAACCATGTATGGCTTCTGAAATGAACTTCATTCTACGAAAGCCAATAGCTTTTGTGACAGATGGGTCTCTTAGCCATCTTAATGGGTAGTCAAAACGATAGCCTTCATGCTTTACGGTATCTGTCTCAAACTTTTGACCGACATTAGTAAAAAGTTCATCTAATGGTTTAGTTGTAGCAACTCTTGAATTTTCTTTTTCTATTGGAAGCATATTTTATCTAGAATAAAAATGTCAAATGAAACAGCGTCTATGAGAGAAATACAACACAACCGACAACTCATTATGCAAGCTCTAAATAAGAACACAACAAACTTTTCAAACTATTCTAAGATATCTGAGTCATTGAAAGAAGGAAACTTAAAACTGACATTAAACCCAATGACAGATGAGTTTCTATTTCAAGACAATAAGAACCATACTGTCTGTATAAATCCAACAAAAGGAACTTTAAACGAGAAACCTATAAATGAACTTCTTTTGAAAACAGATGTTGACAACAAAGCTGACAAAGAATATGTAGACGATGCAATAGCAAAAAAGAAGAAAGAAAGCTAACAATGCTTATGCAACAAAAGAACATACTCATCCTGAACTAGCAGACAAAACATATGTTGACAATAAAATGTCAAGTGAAGTGACAAGAGCTGAAAACGAATATTCTAAAAAGACTCATATACATTCTATATCTGAAATAACAGACTTAAACGTTAGCCTTTGAAAAGAAAGCGGATAAGGAATATGTGGCTAGTAAGTTAGAGAAGAAAGCAGATAAGGAATATGTGGATGAAAAAGATAACGAAATGAAAGAAAGGGTTGACTGGTACCATGAATGGACATCGAAGACTTTTAAAGTTAAAGCGATACAGGATGGGTTTCAGGATGTTTAGACCTTAAAGCAGATAAAACTTATGTTAACGATGAGTTAGAGAAGAAAGCAAATAAGACTCATACACATACAAGTTTTACAACTGTTGCTATAGAAAGTATTGAAGGAACGGTTGAAGAAACTGGTGGGGATGCAATATATTGTAAACCTCCTAACTTTCCACAAGGTTTAACATCGGATGACGACATAACGACGATGAAAAACATTAGATGTAAAGATGTTTATGTCATGAAGGATGAACATAATATTAAATTCACTGCTCAAGATTTATATGACAAGAAAGCAGACAAAACAGAGCTTCAAACATTAAAGACAGAAATACTTCAAACATTATATCCTATAGGCTCTATTTATACGTCAATGAACTCTACCAGACCAGAAGTAGTACTTGGTTTTGGAACTTGGACTCAAATAGTCGACAGGTTTTTGTATTGTGCAAACTCTTCAAAGGAAACAGGTGGAAGTAAAACGATTTCAGGTGAAAATTTACCTGCACATAGTCACTACATAGATTTAAGTAATCTCAAGCAGGTTGGCATAAGCATAGATATTGGGATTGGTCAGCAATGACAAAAGGTAAAGGATATGATGTTAAAGACAACGTTAAGTTTGCTATAGATTGTTACTGGAGTAACACTGAGGGAGGAGGAAACCATAACATCGCGTTACAGGATATACGCAAACAACGGAAAAAGTAAAGACTACATGCCACCTTACATGACAGTTTACGCATGGTATAGAAATGCTTAGTCGTCATTTTCAACTTCTTTAGCATATTCGTCAGGAGTTGTCTTATATTTGTTAGGAACTGTCTTTGAAAGTATACCACCTTGAACTTTGACAAGTTTGAAACGAGGTCTGACAATAGTAGTTTTATCTTCTGCTTGCAGTCTGTACATTTTGCCATGTTTGCCTAAAACTTCATAATATTCTCTGTATACTTTCTTCTATTTTTACGAACACGAATGTGAGTACCTGTCGGGTTCCCATTGTTGTCATAGTCAATAGTATTTTCATATGGGTCGCGTTTAGGTATTTCTATTTTTACTTTGTCACCTTTCTGAAGTTTGAAGCCTGGCATTCTTTCTTGTTTGTCTCTTTTGACTAAATTATTAAATATATAGTCTTTCTCTAAGTCAGGGTTGTTTTTCATTTCTTCGGGGGAGTGGTTTCCCAAACCTTTTTGTTTACGGTTATTGTAAATATTTAAAACTTGTCTCATCTTTGCCATGGAGAAGTGTCTATATTTGTCGTCATATGACATTTCATTTGCTTCACCACCTTGTGGTTGGTTTAAGTCTCTTAACATTTTTTATACAAC